TTTTACATAGTTTCTACGTAAATTCTACTGACATTTCTTACAGTGTGCTTGTAATTTATTTGTAATATTTTATGCTGACCCTGATAAAACTTTTTTCACAACATATGTCAAAGTTTGTAGCTGTTTTTTCCTCTTCGTTTTCAGAGAATCATTATTTCTTGTTTTTTTTAAACCACATAATTACCTGCATGGATCATCTGGGCCTAAAAAGGCTTTTAAACTCAAGCGATGAATCAGGGATGAGTCAACACGTGACAGACAACTTATCAACGAACCTGTTTAAATTTAGACACAAATGTGCAAATCCTCCTCTTGTCTTTATGTTGAATTTATGGAAGAGGTTCCTAACGAAATGGCCAAAAGGTTAAAAAAAAAAAAAAAACGGAGGAAACATCTGTCAATTTCTGTCAGGTTTGCGCTGGATTTTCCTTGCTTCTTAAAGAAAGGACTTTTATCTAAATGTTTAGACCTAACATTTTTTTTCCTCTTGTTCATTTTTAAAGACACACACTGCACAAAGTGCTATCAAAAAAAAAAAAAAAAAAAAAAATAGTGGAAAAAGTACAGACCTTCAGTAAGCCTGAACAACTAAGGATCAGCTTATAGGGTCAGATTCAATAAGTTATGTCAAACGTTTCCACACTCCTATATTTCCTTTTTAATCTTCTTTTTAATTAACATGTTTTTCTAACAATCTGCTCCAACAGTCATACGCGCATGTCTTAAAATTCAGCCAGAAACATCTTAATTCACAAAACAACTGTTTCTAAGCTGCTTCAACTCGCACCTCCCTCCCCTAACCTTGCCCCCCTTTCGGTATTAGCCCTTCACCCCCTCTGTTCGTGGTAAATAACTGTTCGGGCGCACAATGCGCTCTGGACCGCTCCATTCGGTCGCACAACTTCCCTGCGCTCTCATTGGTCGCCTCAGGATGCGGCGGCAGCTGATTGGTGGAAAGTTTCTCCTCGTGTCCGCACATCCCCGCCTCGCAGATATCTGCGGTCCGGTTCTAGCCGTGATTCCAGTTGTTTTCACGTCCCCCCCTGCACCAACAAAGGGACTCAAAGCTGCAGTCTTAATTTTCAGAGTAAAAGCGGCGCGACTGACGGCTCGCGCTCCGAGCTGCAAACGGAGCGAAACAGCATTCAGGAAAAATAAGAAGAGATTTGTTAACAGCGTTTAACCACAGAAGAGAGAAAATGGTGTCGGCCGGACTGGAGATCTTGGGACTGTCGTTGTGCGTAATTGGTTCGTTCTTGGTGATGGTCGCGTGCGGGCTTCCCATGTGGAAGGTGACGGCTTTCATCGAAGCCAACATCGTGGTGGCGCAGACCATCTGGGACGGCTTGTGGATGACGTGCGTGGTGCAGAGCACGGGCCAGATGCAGTGCAAGATGCACGACTCTGTCCTCGCGCTGAGCCACGACCTGCAGGCGGCCAGAGCGCTCACCATCATCTCCTCGGTGCTGGGGGTGCTGGGTCTCATGGTGGTGATCGCCGGAGCGCAGTGCACCAACTGCATCCGCACCGAGTACGTCAAAGCTCGCGTGGTGAACGCCGGAGGGGCGATCTACATCATCAGCGGCCTGTTTGTGCTCGTGCCTCTCTGCTGGATGGCCAACAAAATCATCTCGGACTTCTACAACACGCAGGTGCCTCCACCGCAGAAGAGGGAGATTGGCGCTGCGCTCTACATCGGCTGGGCGGCCGCCGCGCTGCTGCTGATCGGAGGAACCCTGCTGTGCTGTTCCTGTCCCTCCAGCGGGAACTCTGGATACTCTGTACAATACGCACAGACCCAGAGAGCCACGCAGAACGGGGACTATGACAAAAGGAATTATGTGTAGCTGCGTGGCTTGGAGCAGGCGGTGCGTAAAAGTGAACTGCAGCTTTTAAAAACTGTTATTATTATTATGATCGTCATCAAGGACGAATTTTTGCACCTCCACTCCTTTGCTTGTTATACATCTGAACTTTAAATTAGAGGAAGCACCTCTGCTGTTTTTACACAGGTCTCTACTCTCGGACCACATATTTACACTTTTTTGTGTGTTTGCAGGAGATTAAAAAAAATAGACCATCAACCACAAGGAGTATCTTTAAGGTTGGGTACCTGCGTTTGTAAATGTTCAAATTTTTTTGTTTTGAGTTTACTGCTGTTTAAACATCGTTTTCACATTCTTATAGGCCTAAGTCACAGTTTTACACAGTTGTTCCCTTCGTTGTGCTCAGTCAGCATGAAGTTGTACAGTTAGTGGCTGATGTGCTCACATTCAGAAAGCAGTTTCCTTGGTGGAGCTTTGTTGACAACAATACCCAAAACTTGGGCTGAGGAAGGAAACTGCACACTTTAATTCCCTAACAAATCAGGATATTCTGTTGATGTGGGGTGATTGGAAAGTTTGTTTTGAACATTTAGATTACCTAAAACCTGGAATCTGTTGCAGCACAAACAAGCAGAGTCCATCATTGAACCATATTAAGCGCCTGAGAGTTTGTGCCTTTTATTTTATTTTTTTAAATCAGGCAGGATATTTGTCTTTTCACAAACTCTAAAAACATACTGTGTTTTCTGTTGCTCTGTTGATGTAACGTTTCATTATCCATGTATATGAAGTTGCAATATTGTTTCATTTTATTAAGATTAAACTGAATTTAAGTCTGATTTCTTTTGATTAAAGCGTGTTATTAATAAACAAGCACAGTTCTGCATAGACAGGATTCCCCACAACGAATCCATAAAACAACCCCCACAGTGGGAGAAAGTATTTTGGTTATCCATAGAAATCCAGATGACAATGCCCATTCAGCTGGAGTGGGGTTCTGCTGTTCAGCTCACCACCCTCCCCCTGCGTCAGACCCCCACCGCTGCTCCTCACCCTCAGGCTTTCAAACAGAAGCTTTGGAGAAAGTGCTGCTGGGACCATCTTCCTACAAGTCCTTCTAGACTGATGTTCTGCATCAGAATAGTTTACCTGGCCAGTGCTGTGAAATATAGGTCAAGAACTGACCCTTTAACTTGAGGCGACAGCAGAAAACAAAACCCTCTTTAGCCAGTGAGTAACAACTCCCTGATTCAAAACTGTGACTGGATTACAAGAGCTTATCCATACTTGTTTTGCCTGGTGACTTCAGAACCTTAGCGGGTCATATGCGCTCCTAAAAGTTGGAAATATAAGTATGTACACAGACAAAGACCATTGGGCTGTGGACCTCACAGAAAAAAAAACATTTAAACATATTTATCCTGAACTTAGAAATATCTCACATCAAGGCCTTTTCTTTATTCATGAAGCATCTATTATACAAAATAATAAATGTAAGATGCTGAGTAGATAAATGGAAAAAGCACAAGTAAAAAGATAAACAACAGCTGGAGTCAAGACAAAACTAACATTTTACATCACTATCAAACTTTGTCCATCACATTGTTACTGATTGTTGGAAACTTGTCTAAAAAAACAAAACAAAAAAACAGTTAATTATTTTGTCAGTATGATTTTTTTTATTGTTCCCAAAGATTAAAATGAAAGCAAATAAAGAACTGATGAATAGAAAGTTGATCAAATACCAGTTTGTGTATGTTTTAGTCTGAAAATTGCTTTAAATTTGTTAAATAGTTGAGTCTGTAACCGTAGTTTTTACAGCCCATGTTGCCATCTTGGATAAACATTTGTTAATGATTGCAGGTAAATATTAATTAAAAGAGCTGATTATCATATTTCTACTGTGGAAATTATTTTCAGAATTGGGTAAAAGCCATTGTGTCCAGCAGAGAGGTTACAGTAACGTTGTGGCTCTGCAGGGTGCTTTTTTCCCTTCAGCCACTCCCTGATGATGCAGTGATCTGCCTCTGTGAGAGGTTTTTGTTTCCTTCACCACACAGTGATGAAGCGCGGGATTATGAGAGTGTTGAAGGGGTTTGGGAAAAAGGGGGGAGGGTCTATTAGGGGGGTGGGAGCCCCTATTTCAGTGAGAAGAAGGGCAAACAGGCCAGCGATGTCATTCAATGGGCACTCGCCATGGTAACCGGGCTGAACCTGCAGTTGCCTGGTTACCAGAGCCTATAATGTGGTGGTATGGATGAGCCTAATAAAAGGCCTGGCCTGCAGACATTCCAGTAAACATGAACACACTCATACTGAGACACACTCAGCCTTTTCACGGCAGTCCGAGGGTTGAAAGAATGATTTACGGAAAGCCACTATGGTCCCTGCAAACCGCGGTGACGGCAGAACAATCTCTTTAGATCATCTAACACAGGCTGCAATAAATGTTTATTTGTAAACAAATTTCCACTGGAGGGTTTAATTTCTTTAAAAGGAGCAGTGTGCATGTTGAATGCTTTGCTGAGGTTTGTTGAGAAACCTGAAAGCGAGTTGTTTAAGCTGAAAGAAGCAGAAACATAGCTAAAAGCTAAAAGACGCGGAACACTAGCTAGAAATTAAAAGCATCAAAAGGCTAACTAGAAACTAAAAACAACTAAAGGCTAGCAAATAGCAGCTAAGAGCTATATGGAGGCTAAAAGTAGCAAAAGGCTAACCTTCAGCATTAAATAACAGAAGCCTAAAAGTATATTTTAAGACTTGCTAATATTAGCAAAAGATGAGCTGGAAGCTAAAAATAGCAAAAGTCTAGTCAGAAACTAAAAGTTGAAAAGGCTAATTAACAAAAAGCTAACATAATTTTTTTTTTTTAAGTTTTGTTAAAAGTAGAAAAAGACTACATAGAAGATGAAGTAAAACATAACTAAAAGCTAAGATTGAAAAAGGCCAACTAAAAGCTAAAAACCTCAAAAGGCTAATAAAAATATAAAAGTTACATAAAGTATCAAAAAGCTAGCTAGATGCCAAAAGTAGCTAAAAAGCTGACTAAAAGCTAAGAGTAAAACAGGCTAACTAAAAGCTAAAACATCAAAAGGCTAGCTAGACGCTAAAATGGCAAAAGTCTACAGTTAGTCGCAGCTAAAAAGTAGCATACAAAGAAATGTGTGCGAGTGGGCTGAGGAAGAAGAGAAAGAACACAGTTTTTGAAGAATTTGCAGCATTTTAAATGTATTTCAGTGGGGGAAATATTTATAAATATCTCTAAACATTTTGAAATGTATAAAAGTTACAAAAACTATGTCTTAGTACCCATCTTCTAAATGAGCTGAATGTTTTGATTTATGAACGACTAAAACAGCACAAAAAGAGTAACTAGACTCAAACAAAACAACTTGAAAGCTGCAATGCGAATGCTGATGTTATACAGTTATATTTCGAGAATTAAGCTGATTATTTCACAACAGCATCTCACAGAAACACAGCCATTAAGTTGGACTATAAACTTGATCTCGTTCAGCCTGACGGAGCAGCACTGTTCGGATCAAGTTAGGCACCAGATCCAACGCTTAGTGAGAGAAGCCTCATGACATGAACTCTGAACTCTAAATCTGGCCTCAGATCAGGCCTGAAATCACCGCCTGGCCCTGACGTGAAGTGATCTCATCGGAGCAGCATCCCTCCCACACATTCACAAGGGCCACGCCTCGAGCTTCTCGTTCAAGAAAACACAATTTATGAAACGTGTGGAGCGAAACATGGAGCAAATGCAGCAGAACTACCAAAAAGTCATGCTGATGACTCCTAAAACAAAGCAGACTTAATTAATGTTTTCATTGGTTGACTCAGACTCAAACCAGAGCCAGCAGGTGCATACGGCCAGCAGACTTCCCAGCTGGACAGAGCTTACTCACAGAGAGCAAAGCCAAGAGTCAGCAGGTGGTCATATGTGGAGGACAAATGTAGCTTTGTGCACAGAGTTAAAGACCCCACGAGCCGTTTGTTTGAGAAACAATGAGTGGTTGGAGATCAGGACAAAAAGGGGGGAAAGCTGCAGTATGTTCAGTTCTGTGACATGTTCACAAAATTTACAGCTTTGCAACTCACAGTTTTTTTTTAGTTTTTTTTTAAACCTGTTGCACGTCCAGGCTTCCTGTCTGAGGGACAACGGAGCAGGAAACAGGAAGGAACATGGGTGTAGGTGAGGGGGATGGAAAAGAGGGTGGAGTGGGTAGCGCTTAGAGCGCTGAGCAAATTGCTCCAAAATCTACATTAAACAATAACAGGTGCAGCCAAGTTTATACAGTCAGGAACCATCCAAATTACATGAGCCACGTTTATTCTTGTGCTCATTTTAATTAAACTTTTTTTTGAACACGACTTGTTTTGTTATTGGTTGAGTAAATTCACATATGTTTGAGGCTAAATGAACTTTAACGTCATAATAACAGTCAAAATACACAGTTACATATTTTTTTGTTTTGATTATTTTACCGACTCAGTATATTCATTGCACGCTGAGACTGTCAGAATTGTCAATGTTCAAATGTAAACAAACAACTCCCAGTTGTTGTCAACAAAACATGATTCCGCTGATTTTGCTAATTTATCACAAATTATGCAGTAAAGTTTTGGTAGTGAAGGATGCTCTTTTTAGTGATTATTTTTATTCGAGATAATACACATACACAAAACAAAATTAAATAAAAACATTAAAAACTGCATATTTGACAGATTTAAGACTTAATAAAACAAGTCTGAAATATGTTATGGCAAAAAATCTGAATGGTAAGATTTTGCTCAGCTTTTTAGCCTTCCGTTTGATTACGAATTAATTTACCAAGAGATTAGAAATGGCTGCAGTCAACACTTATTTCCAAAGGAGGGAGGAAAATGTGACCTATAAGAGTTGAGGCAGGATGTATGCAGGTCCTACATTATGTAGAAGAGGAAACCTGAGGGAGATTGGGAACTGTAAGGTTGTGGCAAGAGAGAGCGTGGCCAGACAGCATCAAATGAGGTTAACTGGACATCATTAACTTCACAGACTCTCTCACTGGTACATTTTCATCTTTAAATCACTTCTTGGTCTGTTGCCTTCATACATCTCCTCCTACATGTCTCTGCGTGAGTGCAGCTACAGCGTGCGCTCTCAGGACATTATTACATGCAGTGTTCCCTCAATGAGGACTGAACTAGGCAAAAGGGCCTTCTCCTACTCCGCTCCTGTTTCCTGGAATATCTTACAAAAAGATTTGAAGCTCTCGACCTTGACCTCTCTAAGTGTCTTTAAGAATCTGTTGGACACCTGGGAGGGTCCAATGCTGACATGTTCCTGTTTTTAGTTTTCTACATTTGTCTTGGAATCTAGCTGTTTTTTGTTTTGTTACCTTTTCCTTTTAGCCATCCTATTTGTTAAAAAAAAACACAAAAAAAAACTGTAGTATGCTTTTTTGTAACTGTTTATTGTTGTTGCTGTTGTCCATTGTTGTCATCTTTCTTTGTTGAAATCAGGTCTCTCTTGTAAATGAGTCCTCGAGGCTCAATGGGATTTACCTGTATAAATAAAGGTTGATTGATTGATTGAAATGGTTGTGTGTAGAATGACTGTTGTTGTGGCAAAGCAGAATGCATATGATGAGTTGTATGGGAGGTTGGCAA